CCATTACCGCTGTCTATTTCCAAAACCTTTTCATCACTGCAAACAGACATTTTGTACCCATTAGGCAATAACTCCCCATTTCCTCCTCCTCCAGTCTCTGGTAACCTCTCTTCTACTTTCTGTCTCTCTGAATTGCCTATTATAGATATTTCATTTAAGTGGAGTCATAAACTGTTTATCTTTCATGTTCTGTTTATTTCACCTAGCATAATGTTGTAGCATGGATCAGTATTTCATTTTATGGCTGATGATATTCCATTGTAAGTATAGGCCTTGTTTTGTTTATCCATTCATCTATTAATGGACACTTGGATTATTTCCACTTTTTGGCGGTCATGAATAATCCCACCATGAGTATTGGCATAGGAGTATCTGTTTGAATCCCTGCTTGTAATTTTTTTAGGTATACACCTAAGAGGGGAATTGTTGGATCAAATGGTAATTTTACGTTTAATTTTTTGAGAAAATTTTTTTCACAGTTGCTGCATCATTGTCCGTTCACATTAGCAAGTATTCCAGTTTCTTCAAATCCTCTCCAATAATTGTTATTTTCCTTTTCTAAAAAATTATTGTTATAGCCATACTAGTAGGTGTAAAATGGTATCACATTGTAGGGTGGTGTTTTTTTTTTTTTTTTGCGTTTCCCTAATTATTACAGATGACACCACCCTTATGGCAGAAAGTGAAGAGGAACAAAAAAGCCTCTTGNGTTGCTGATGGACAGGGAGGCCTGGTGTGCTGATTCATGGGGTCGCAAAGAGTCAGACATGACTGAGCGATTGGACTGAACTGAACTGAATAACTAAATATGATGAGCCTCTTTTCATGTGCTTATTGGTCTCTTGTATATGTTTTTTTGGAGAAATGTCTACTCCTTTGCCCTTTTAAAAACTAGATTTTTTTTTCTTTTTGTTGTTGAATTGTAAGAGTTCTTTATTTATTCTGGATATTAAACCCTTATCAGATATGTGATTTGCAAATATTTCCTCCCGTTCTGTGGGTTGCCTGTTGATAGTGTCTTTTGCTGTGCAACAGTTTTAATTTTAATGAAATTAGATTTATCTATTTTTTTTCTTTTCTTGCTTGTGACTTTGGTGTCTTATGTAAGAAACTATTGTGAAATCCAAGGTAATGAAGATTTTCCCCTATATTTTCTTCTAAGAGTTTAATAGTTTTTGTTCTTAAATTTAGATCTTTGATGCATTCTGAGTAAACTTTGTGTACGATATAAAGTAAGAGTCTGACTTCATTTTTCTCCAAGTGGCTGTCTCATTTTCCCAGCACTATATGTTGATGAGTCCATTCTTTTCCCCATTAAATGCTCTTGGCCAGAATATTTAAAAATGCATAAAATACATAGCATTATGAAGGAAACCAGTTATGTTGAAGTATAGTTATCAACATATAAAAAAATACAAAAATCATGGTATTTAATAATTGTGGGTCTAATAACAACTGTAATTTCTAAGTAATGATGAGTATAAATTATATCTTAAGATATCTGCAGCAGTTTTACTGTAATGTAAAAATATTTGTGATTCTGTTGGTGACAAAGTCAAAACTCTGCTGATAACGACTATGGTTTGTTGTCAACATTCATAACTGAAGGAAATACTACATTTCTGTTAGGAGGTTAGTGAAAATAAAGATATCATTTTTCCTAAAGTCACATACCCCCATGAATGTCCTCTAGAGATCCCTTGGTCATCTACAGACATCAGGTTGAAAACCCCTTGTGACCTGCATCATCATATTAACCCTAACTACTCAAACTGTCCTCACTCACACTGCACATTTATTAGCCCCTGTCATCCATTGATTTCCTCACCCAGAGTTGACATGTGTCGGGTGACAAGAGAGGAAGGCCTCCATGCAGCCCTGTTGCAGACCTTCCTCTCCATGAGCCTCCTGCTTTGCCCATATCCTGCCTTTTGCAGGTTGTGATCTTGGATGTCCCTTCCCTGTCCTCTATCACAACTCTCATTTCTCCTGCTCCAGGATGGATCAGAGGTCATATGACAAAGAGAGCACTTGGGGGCCACATTGGCTTTGCTCTGTGAAAGCATAACCTTTTCCTAATTTATCCCTCATCATAAACAGGCACTACCAAAGAAGTTTCAGCCTATTCCCCTCCAGCTGCCCTATCCTTAGACATTTAAATCTGACCTGCACTGCCTCCCATGGGCTTTTATGACAGTTCTCATTCCTTACTTCTAAAGCACACAGTTATGTCCATTTCTGAATTTTAACCTGACAGGTAGCCCAGCGCTGTGGCTAAGAGCAAGAGTCTGAAGCCAGATTACCTGGTTTTGAATCGCAGTCCTGCTGCTTCCCAACTGTGTGACCTTAAGTAGGCTATCCAACCTAGCTGAGCCTCAGTATTCTCATCTATAAAATGGGGATGCTAATAGCACCTACCTTACAAGGTGATTGTGAGGATTAGAGAGTATTTGTAAAGCAGCTAGCAAATAGTAAAAAAAAAAAAAAAAATTATAATCTTTAACTTCATCTCTTCCTTTCTTCAGGAAACTTCATCTCTCCCTTCATTTTTTCCCTTTTGGTTAGCAACTGCAATACTCTTTTTCTTTTAGAGTGCTCCCTTGTGCTTTCACATCAATTCTCACATCCCTCACTTTTAAGATGCCTTAACTAAGACCTAGATTCATGTTGAAGTGCTTATACTGTTCCTTCACCAACTTCAATTTCTATTCCTCCAGCTCCTTCCTTGATTCCCATCCATCTTAGGTCTTCATTATTCCCAGTCCATTTTATTTTTCTGGCATGCTAAAGAGTTTTGATGACTCTCCCTAGGGTGACAGGTCTTCAGTCAAGTGGCACATGGAAAGGAAGGAACACTGGACGAGATACGAAACAAATTGTCCCAATGCCGTGGTCTGCTCCCCCCGCCACCCACAGAGACGGCCATAATTGGAGAGAGCACACTCTCTACACCTGCCTATCACCCAGGGGTTCTCATAAGAGTCACAACACGGGATTCTTTCCAAGGGCTTTTTCCAGGTGGCGCGGTGGTAAAGAATCTGCCTGCCAACGCAGAAGGTGCAAGAGACACAAGTTTGATCCCTGGGTCAGGAAGATCCTTGTAGTAGGAAATAGCAACCCACTCCAGTATTCTTGCCTGGAGAACCCCATAGACAGAGGAGTCTGGCGGGCTACAGTCTATGGGGTCACAAAGAATTGGACACAACTGAGCACCTACTAATGCACTTTCTCTGAAAACCTATGGTCTTGCTTCTGGCTCCTGAGCAGAATTTGACCACTGTCAATAGGAACTGTAGTGGTAACAGGGTGGATAGAACACTGATATAAAAATCAGGAGATCTGGTTTCTAGCCCCAGCTCTGCCCACATGTATTACTGTGACCTTGGTAAAGACACTTACACTTATTTGACCTTAACTTCCTTATGGGACAGTAATGCTCATCGTTGTGAGAGACAAGCATGTTGAAATTTCTTCTTTTCTGAGCACACATTTTAGCCTTGCATACACCAAAGTTACATTTGTTGCTATGGTCAAATCCCAGTTATTCAGCTATAGCTCATACATGAAAAATCTCCATACTCTTTGTTTTTAGCCCATCCTGAGATATAAAAAGCAAAAAGCAACTTAAAACTGTATTGATTTTACTGATGGGTTGATAGATTAACTGATTGATTGATTTACAGTGATTCTGCTATATTAAATGATCTAAAGGTTAAAGTAGGTTTTCTTAATCTCAGGATCGTTGACATTTTCTACCATAAAATCATTTCTTATGGAGGGCTTTCCTGTACACTGTGGGATGTTTGATGGTATCCCTGGCTTCTATCCACTAGATGCCAGTCGTGATAATAAAAAATGTCTCCAGACATTACCAGGTGTCCCTTGGGAAACAAAATGCCCTCCAGTTGTTATCCACTGAGCTAAAAGATAATAAGGCCTTATTGTATTGCCTTTTCTTTACATGGCTAATGCCATAACCACAAGATTCCATATTATATATTTTCCATAAATTTCTACATGAACGTGAAAGTGGTAGTTGCTCAGTCATGTCTGACTCTTTGCGACCTCATGGACTGTAGCCTGCCAAGCTCCTCTGTCCATGGAATTCTCCAGGTAAGAGTACTGGAGTGGGTTGCCATTCCCTTCTCCAGGGGATCTTTCCAACCCAGGTATCAAACCTGAGTCTTTTGTACCTGCATCACTGGCAGATTCTTTATTACAGGTCAAAGCCATGTAGAGTTAATGCTTGGTAAAAATTTTAGTATACAGGAATGATATGAATGTGTTAATTCCCTGCCATCCACTAATATCACATCTCAGAAAACTGTCCTTACCAAGAGAAAGTCATAAAAGTCAATTTTTCTACTGGAAAATTTTGGTAGCTTGAATTTTCTTCAAACATTCTAAAAAACTGCACACCTGATTTGTATACTGGACTTACAAGGCTTTTGTTGTTGTTTAGTTGCTAAATCATGTCTGACTTTTTTGTGACCCAGTGGACTGTAGCCCACCAGGTTCCTCTGTCCATGGGATTTCCCAGGGAAGGATACTGGAATGGGTTGCCATTTCCTTCTCCAGGGGATCTTCCTGACCCAGAAATCGAACCCATGTTTCCTGCACTGGCAGGCAGATTCTTGACCACTGTGCCACCAGGGAAGTCCTTATAAGGCTTAGTTCTTATCATGTATGGCACTGACCCTCGATTGGAGGTGATACTATCCCCCAGGGAATATTTGGCAATGCCTGGAGATATTTTTGGTTATTAAGACTAGGAGAGGGGATGCTGCTGGCATCTAACAGATACAGACCAGAGATGCTGCTAGACATCCTACAGTGCATAGGACAGCCTCACAACAAAGACTTAGCCAGTCCAATATGTCCAAATGTCAGTAGTATTGATAAAAAACTCTGTTTTATGGGAAGAATAAAGCACTTGGTGTGGCTTTTCTTGGCCCTGTGGACTTTTCCTTCGGAGAACTTAAGTCTGTTCTTTCTCGCAGATGCTCATGGCACAAGTTCCGAAGATGCCTGCTTACAATGTTTCCCTTCCTAGAGTGGATGTGTTTCTATCGATTCAAAGATTGGCTTCTTGGAGACTTACTTGCTGGAATAAGTGTCGGCCTTGTGCAAATTCCCCAAGGTAAGAAAGATACAAGGGCTTTTCACACAGATAATATATCCCTTGTCCAGAGTAAACAAGTTACTTGTGCTAGATAAATAGGAAAAAAAAAATGTGATTTCCATTCACATCATTACCATTTGTTTCCTTACCTGCCAAATTTCTAACTCGTCAAGGGTGGTTCCAAAAGTCTCAGTTTAGTTTAGAACTCTGAATTCTTGTAATGCCTGCTCACAGTCATTTTTTCCTTAACTAGTCATTTCATACTCACAGGACTCCAATGGATCTCACTTGGCGTTGATTTTACTTAGAAAGGTGAAGAATAAGAAACTCGGCATGCTAACTTCTCTTTAGCAAGTCACACACAGCAGTCTAGGGGCCACTCTTTGGTCTTACAAGTGGCAGTTCAAATGTAAGACAAGATCATTTAGACAGGTGGGGGAACTATCTGGGCTTTAAAAGTCCTGTTTCCCAAGTAGGAACCAACATCTCTTGTAATTCCCATAGCTGATGCCTCCAGGGGTCCCATAGTGACATGTCCAGTTGCAAGTATCACTGTGCTCTGAGAAGCTCAAAGTTAGGGCTTCCCACCAGATATTAGTCTTTCATTCACCCTTGGTCCAGCTAGAATATACTAATCAGGTTCTTTTTACCGTAACTAGTATTGCTTGGTGACGCAGTTGACATTCCACCATTATCAGGTTTCCAAAGAAACAGCTAGAAAGCTAACCCAAGATCAGCTTTATCAGAGAAAGGATTTTGTGTTAACACTTTACTCAGTGCGTGCTAAGTTGCTTCTGTCATGTCCAGCTCTTTGGAACCCTATGGACTGTAGCCCATCAGGCTCCTCTGTCCATGGGATTCCCTAGACAAGAATACTGAAGTGGGTTGCCTTGCCTTCCCACAGAGCATCTTCCCAATCCAGGGATCGAACCCACGTCTCCTATGGCTCCTGTATTGCAGGCCGATTCTTTACTGCTGACCCACCAGGGAAGCCCCTCCTTTATTCAGAATAGTTCACAATTGCCTACATAGTCTTTAAACACTTCTATTTCTCTTTTCTTGGGGCAAACCAAGCAAGATTGAAATTTGTGATCATACAGGTTGTGTAAAGCACAAATGAAGGGAAAGGGGCCAATGGTAGCTGAAATCCAACTCTGGCAAAAGGGCTGTTAGTGGGGGAAAGGGATCCCTTTAAAATAATTATCTGACAGTAAAATTTACTTGTTTCTTACAGTTCTGTGAATTAAAACACAGGTATAAATTTGTATAACCACTGCCACAACCAGGCTACATAGCAGTTCCATCAGCCCCCAAACTCTCTTCTGCCATCACTTCTTAGTCACGTTGTCTGCTAACCTCTGACCCCTGGCAACCACTGATCTCTTCTCCATCACCATAGCTCTGTCTTTTTCAGAATGTCATATACATGGACTCATATACTATGTAACTTCTGAAGGATGGCATCTTTAATTCAGCATTATGAAATCAATGCAAACTGCTATATGCATCAATAGTTTATTCCTTTTTGTTGCAGAATAGTATTCCATGACATGACTATATCACAGTTTGTTTATCCATTCATTTATTGATGGACATTTTGTTTCCAGTTTGGGTCCATCACAGAGTTGCTGTGAACACTCATGTACAGGTTTTTGTGTGAACATAATTGTCATTTCTCCAAGGTAAATACCTCAGGAGTGATATTATTGGTTATATGGGAAGTGTATGTATAACTTTACAAGAAACTGCCAAACTGTTTATGCAGAGTGGCTGAACCTACCATTTTATATTCCCACCAGCAATATATGAGAATTCTAGTTCCTCCACACCCTTGTTAGCACTTGATATTGTCAGTATCTTTAAATTAAGCTTTCTATTTTGAGGTAACTATAGATTCACATTAATTTGTAAAAAAAAAAAAAAAAAGATTACAGAGATCCCTTGCACCTTTTTTTATTTAAAGGTTTTTTAGGGACTTCCCTGGTGGTTCAGCAGTTAAGAATCTACCTTGCAATGCAGGGATTATGGGTTCGATCCCTGATCAGGGAACTAGGATCCCATATGCCATGGAGTGACTAAGCCCACACGCTGCAACTACTGAGCCTGCACACCACAACTAAGGCCCAGTGCAGCCAATTTTTGTTTTTTAAAAGAGTAAAGATTTTCTAATTAATTGATTATTTTTGGCTGTGCTGGGTCTTTGTTTCTGTGCATGGACTTTCTCTAGTTACAGTGAGTGGGGCCTGCTCTCGAGTTGCGGTGGGTGGGCTCCTCATAGCAGTGGCTTCTCTTGTTGCAAAGCACAGGCTCTAAGGTGTGCGGGCTTCAAGAGCGCATGGGCTTAGTTGCCCACAGCATGTAGAATCTTCCCAGACCAGGGATCAAACCTGTGTCCCCTGCAGTGGCAGGTAGATACTTATCCACTGTACCCCCAGGGGAGTCCTTCATTTTGTTTGTAATTTGCGTTTCTCTAATGACTAAGTTGAACATCTTTTCATGTTCTTATTTGCTGTCCTCCAATCCCCTTTGGCAAGGTGCCTGTTCAAGTTTTTTGTTCATCTTTTAACTGGATTTTTTTTCTTATTGTTAGTTTTTGAGAATTCTTTTTATATTCTGAGAATAAGTCCTTTGTTAGATATCTGATTTTCAAATATTTTCTCTCTGTAGCTTATCTTTTCATTCTCTTGACAGTATATCTGACAGAGCAAAGGCATTTAATTTTGATGACATTCAATTTTTTCTGTTTATGAATTGAGTTTTTCCTGTCGTATACAAAAACTCTTCACTTAATCACATTAGGTCACAAAGATTTTCTTCTATGTTTTCTTCCCAAAGTCTTATATTTTACGGTTTACTTTTAGAACCAATCTGTTTTGAATTAATCATTATGTAAGATGTGAAGTTTAGATCAAGGCTTTATTTTTTGTTGCATCTTTAAAGACTATTGTCAACTGAATTGTTTTTGCACTTTTGTCAGAAATCAAATAGCCATATTTGTGTGGATCTATTTCTTTTTTTATGTATAATGGATGTTATAGTACGTTCTTCTAAAGAAGATTTCTATTGATATAATCACTTATTAAAAATCACTTGTTTACTTATCTACTTGGGGCTGCACTGGGTCTTCCTCACTGTGCGTGGGCTTTCTCTAGCTGTGAGTGGGGGCTGCTCTCTAGTTGCAGTGCTCAAACTTCTCTTGTTGTGGAGCATGAGCTCCGGGGTGCATGAACTTCAGTAGTTCTTTGGAGAAATGTCTATTTAGGTCTTCTGCCCATTTTTTAAGTGGGTTGTTTGTTTTGATGCTGTTAAGCATCACAAGCTATTTGTAAATTTTGGAGACTATGGATTACATTAATTTCCATGTGGCAGGGACTTCACTGGTAGCCCAGTGGCTAAGACCACCAATTCAGGAAGCCAGGTTTGATCCCTGGTCAGAACACTAGATTCCACATGCCACAACTAAAGATCCCAAGTGTCGAAACTAAGATTCGGTGCAGCCAACTAAGTAACTAGGTTTTTTTTTTTTTTAATTTCCATATGGCAGATACAAACCAAAATGGTCCATTTGTATAAATATATTCAGTTCCAGGAAAGTATCAGAACGTCTCTAGAGCATTCATATGGTTCTGGAATGAGAGATCTGAACTCTTTACTTGAGAGTCCACTACTGAACCCCACTTATCAAAGATCCTTCACTTATGGTCAAGGTTTGAGGACATTTCTCTGCTAAATTTCCAATATACTAAATTTCATCAGTATAACTTCATACCAAAATAAGAGTAACATTAGGGTGTATAACTATACCTAACATCTATCACATTATTTGGCATATAATTGGTACTCAAGGTATTTGTTGAATAATGATTACATAACTGTATGAATGAGTAAATCCAAGCAACTCTTGCTGACTGACTAAGGGACTGTGTGTTATTTTAAGTAGTATGAATAATGAAATAATTTGTAGGATAAACAGTTTGAAAGTTTTACTTGCATTTAAACAAGTAGGACCAAACAGTAATTTTCTTCAAATGAAACAAAAATACTGCACAGTGGAAACCTTATTTGAAACATGCTAGCTCTTCCTTACAGTAGAACCCAATTTATAAATGTAAAAGAAAATAGAAAATCACCATCAGTGAAAGACTACAGTCACACTTGCTGGAGAGAAAATCCACTAAGAGAGGTTAAAGTCAGTGGGTAAAAGTTGGCAAACTACGTGACAGGACTTGAAAAGTGAAAGGGTTAGTTGCTTGGTTGTGTCCGACTCTTTGCAACCCCACAGACTGTAGCTTCTCTGTCCATGGGATTCTCCAGGTAGAATACTGGAATGGTTGCCGTTTCCTTCTCCAGGGGATCTTCCAGACCCAGGGATCAAACGCAGGTCTCCCGCATTGCAGGCAGCTTCTTTACCATCTGAGCCACCAAGGAAGCCAGGACTTGTTCCAAATATCTTCCTCAAGATATTTACTAACTCCTCTATTACTTTACAATAAAGAACCTGGGAGCAACTACCTTTACCAAGAATCAGTGCTGTCATCACCAAGAATAAGACATTTGGAGACCATGAGCTCTCTGATATGATGCACTAAGAAGGACATAATATCATTTCTGTCGTATTCACATCCAAAGCATTTAACCTTAGTGTGATCATAAGGGACCTGTGCTGGGCTGTGCTTAGTCTTTCTGTTGTGTCCGACTCTTTGGGACCCCATGAACTGTAGCCCGCCAGGCTCCTCTGTTCATAGGGATTCTCCAGGCAAGAATACTGGACAGGGTTGCCATGGCCTCCTCCAGGGGATCTTCCCGACCCAGGGATCGAACCCAGGTCTCCCACATTTCAGGCAGATGCTTTACCAGCCTAGCTACCAGGGCAGGCCAACCCCAAACTGAGGGGCATTTAGCAAAATAGCTCATCTATTAATACTCTTCCAAAGTGACGAAATCAAGAAAGACAAGTAACAACTGAGCAACTATAACAGATATTAGCATTAAGAAGAAAAAACAGCTAAATGAAGTAG